TTGATATTTGAATTTTGTAAAACCATGCTTTTTTATTTAAGCTGCAAACTAAGCTCATCATGAATTTGTATACGTGTTTTCAAGCGTTTGCAGAATCTAAAAGTATGCTATAGAAATATTGGCTAAAACAAACTCCTAGGTAAAAAAGATTGGAGGAGGCTCAATATTACGTCACCCACTAGAAGATAGTAGATAATGCAATAGAATATGACAAACTAACAAGCAGAATTTAAATATAGTAGCCAATAAAAATATAGTGGCTAGCGGTTATTAAGTGGAAAAGTCATAAATCTTCAGGGAATGAGTAGAGCAAGTCAATGTACATTTCTATACACTAAGCACAAACAAGGCCCCTACTAATAATATGATTCCTACATAATAGGCTCAGTCCCAGGTCTACAAGGAAAAGATCCATGATCTGGAGTCAAAAATCACACAGCTGGTGTCCGGTAAGAAAGAACAATATTTAATTTTATGCGAATAACTCGTAATACCTTCCTTGGTGCATCCTCCTTAGCCACGCCAAGTCTTCAAAGTCTACCACCACCCGCTCCACCTTCAGATGATAGCGCTTTGAAGGAGGAAATTGCCAAGCTGCAGGAAAAGGTGACCATTCAGCAGAAGGAAGTTGAGTCGCGGATTGCGGAGCAGCTGGAGGAGGAGCAGCGATTGAGGGAAAATGTGAAGTACCTACAGGAGCAGAACGCCACTCTGCAGACCGAGTTGGTGTCCAAGGATGAGGCCCTGGAGAAATTCTCCCTCTCGGAGTGTGGTATCGATAATCTCCGGAGAGAACTGGCACTTCTCAAGGAGGAAAACGAAAAGCAAGCTGAGCAGGCTCAGGCTGATTTCACGCGAAAACTGGCCGAGAAATCCGAAGAGGTGATACGAGTCACTTCTGAATTGCAGAGCCTGAAAGCGGCATCCGATTCCCTGGAAAGCGAAAGGGTAAACAAAACCGATGAATGCGAAATTCTTCAAACCGAAGTCCGAATGCGGGATGAGCAAATCAAAGAGCTAGTCCAACAACTCGATGAGGTTACCACACAGCTCAATGTACAAAAAGCGGATAGTTCCGCTCTGGATGATATGCTTCGCCTGCAAAAGGAGGGTACTGAAGAAAAGTCGACTCTTTTGGAGAAAACCGAAAGGGAGCTAGTGCAAATCAAAGAAGAAGCTGCGAAAAACCAACAGGAAAAAGAACAACTTGAAAAGCAGTTATCAGATTTAAAGCAATTGGCAGAACAGGAAAAACTAGTCAGGGAAAAGACTGAAACTGAAGTCAATCAAATAAAATTAGAAAAAGAAACCGTAGAACAGCAATTGGCCTTAAAACAAAACGAACTGGAGGACTGCCAAAGAAAACAGTCAGAAACAGAAGTTTATCTTCAGGAAATCAAAGATATTCATAGCAAGAAGGATTTAGAATTAGTTCAATCTGGTGAATCCTTTAAAAAACTGCAAGAGCAATTAGAAGAGAAAATTCAAGCCCATGAAAAACTGCAAACTGCTTTAGAAGAGCTAAAAAAAAGTCAGGAGACGATCATAAAGCAAAAGGAGCAGGACATCCAGCAACTCCAAAGCAAGTCAGCTGAATCCGAAGGGTCTTTAAAGGCCGTACAAGTTCAACTAGAGCAACTTCAGCAACAGGCAGCCGCATCTGGTGAAGAGGGTTCCAAAACAGTGGCCAAATTGCACGATGAGATTACTCAGCTCAAGTCCCAGGCTGAAGGAACTCAGTCCAATTTAAAAGCTACGCAATCGAACTTGGAAGCTAAAACCAAACAATTGGAGTCTGCAAATAGCAGCCTAGAGTGTGAGGCCAAGAAGTCAGCCAGTCTGCAGGAACAGGTCGCCAAACTTAAATCTGAAGTGGAGGAGACGCAGGCAGCACTCAGTTCATGTCATACGGATGTGGAATCCAAAACTAAGCAACTTGAAGCCGCAAATGCAGCTTTGGAGAAGGTCAACAAGGTAAGTCCATGTTATAAACAAAGATATTATATTTCTTACACTCCTTTAATCAAACAGGACTACGCGGAATCCCGGGCGGAGGCATCGCATCTGCAAGATCAGGTCAAGGAGATCACCGATACGCTGCATGCTGAGCTTCAAGCTGAACGTTCGTCCTCCAGCGCTCTTCACACTAAGCTGTCCAAGTTCTCGGATGAATTAGCTACAGGTCAAAAGGAATTGACCAGCAAAGCAGATGCCTGGAGCCAGGAGATGCTGCAAAAAGAGAAAGAACTGCAGGAGCTGCGACAGCAACTTCAAGATAGTCAGGACTCGCAAACAAAACTGAAAGCAGAGGGAGAACGGAAAGAAAAGTCTTTCGATGAATCTATTAAGAATCTTCAGGAAGAAGTCACTAAGGCCAAGGCGGAGAATCTAGAGCTAAGCTCTGGCACACAGGCGACCATAAAGGACCTGAAGGAGCTACTGGAAATCACCAATGCGGAGCTACAGCACAAGGAAAAAATGGCTACCGAAGATGCGCAAAAGATTGCCGACCTTAAGACTCTTGTGGAAGCCATCCAGGTGGCTAATGCCAATATATCAGCTACCAATGCGGAGCTCTCCACTGTATTGGAAGTTCTTCAGGCGGAGAAGAGCGAAACGAATCACATATTCGAGCTCTTTGAAATGGAAGCTGACATGAATTCAGAGCGGCTGATCGAAAAAGTTACTGGTATAAAGGAGGAACTAAAGCAAACGCATCAGCAACTGGATGAGCGACAGAAAATGTTCGAGGAGCTGGAGGTGAAATTCAAGCAAGCTCAGCAAAGTGAACAAAATTTGCAGCAGGAGTCCCTGACTTCCAAGGAGCAACTTGCGGAACTACAACAGTCCTTGCAAGAACTTCAAGATTCAGTAAAGCAAAAGGAAGCACTTGTCCAGAACCTGGAGGAGAAGCTTAGGGAAAGCAGTTCCATCATAGAAGGCCAAACCACTTCCTCTCAGGAAGTACAAGTAAGGCTAGAAGAAGCACAAAGCAATGCAAAGAAGCTACATGAAGAGGGTGCCAAATTGAACGACCACTTACAGCAGCTGCAGAAGACTCAGATCGAACTGTCTGAATCCCTTAGGGAAAAAGATGAACTTGTGCAGATCCTAGAGACAAAATTAAAGGAAAGCAATGTTCAGTTGGAAAGCCAAACTTCTTGTTCAAAGGAAGCCCAAGATAAATTGCTGGAGTTACAGCAGAAGGAAAAAAGTTTGCAGGAAGAGGCTGCTAAATTATCCGGCGAACTGCAGCAAGTACAAGGGGCCAATGGAGAAATAAAGGATTCGCTAGTAAAAGTGGAGGAACTAGTTAAGGTGTTAGAGGAAAAGCTCCAAGCCGCCACCTCCCAGTTGGAGTCCCAACAAGCGGAAAATAGGGAACTCCGGGAGTTGCTGTTAAAATCGCAAGAGAACGAGGGAAATCTGCAAGGAGAATCTCTGGCAGTCACAGAGAAACTACGTCAACTGGAGCAGGCCAATGGAGAGCTGCAGGAGACGCTATGTAAAAAAGAGAATAGTCTTAAAGAACTTGAGGGTAAACTTCAGGAAAGTGGTTCTTTATTACAAAGTCAACAGAAAAGCCACAACGAACTTCAGGATAAGTTAGAAAAGGCCCAGCAAAAGGAGAGGACTCTTCAAGATGAAACATCCAAGTTGGCGGAGCAATTGAGCCAATTAAAGCAGGCTAATGAGGAGCTCCAGAAATCCCTGCAGCAAAAGCAGTCACTCTTAGAAAAGGGCAATGAATTCGACACCCAGCTGGCAGAATATCAGAAAGTCATCGACGAAATGGACGATGCGGCCTCCGTTAAGGCCAAGCTGCTGGAACAGCTTCAAAATAGAGTTGTGGAACTGGAGGCCGCACTTCATCAGGCCAACGAGGCCCAAAAGACTGCTTATCTGGAGACTAAGGAACTGAAGCGTAAGCTGGAATCGCTGGAACTGGAGAAGTCCAGGGAGATTTTAAGCCTTAAGACTCAGATGAATGGTGCGAGCATTAGGTCCGGAAAGGGAGATGAACTGGAGGTGGGTTTCTTTCTCTAATGCAAATAAACCATATTTTGTAACTAATGTCCCTTGTTCCTTTCTAGTCGCTGGACACGGAAACCAGTCTTGCCAAGATCAACTTCCTGAACTCAATAATTGCTGACATGCAGCAGAAAAATGATGCACTCAAGGCTAAGGTGCAGACGCTGGAAACCTTGCCAATGGATTTCACCAAGTGAGTTTCCTTCTTTTCTTCACGACTTTGGTTGGTTGAAGCAATGCCGTTTTTTACTCTGTAAAGATAGAAATAGAAAATGTGTATCAATATATCGTAATACTGGATTTTGTAAAATGTGACCTAAAATTATATTTGTTATTCATGTACCATATTTAAGACCACATGCCTTCGATGTCCTGACCAAGCGCAAGCCGGCTCCCAGACTTTTCTGTGACATCTGCGATGAGTTTGATCAGCACGATACGGAGGACTGTCCAATCCAGGCTGGCGAGGATCGGGACTACTCCCCCCCGCCATCCGAGTCCAACAACAACGAGAAGGAACGGAAGCTACCTGCACCCAGGAAATACTGTGATTCCTGCGAGGGTAAGTAACATTAAATAAACTATACAAATACCTAAGTTGACCAATATTTAACATTTTTCCCAATTGCAGTTTTTGGCCACGATACGAGCGAATGTGCCGATGATGAAACCTATTAGCTCTAGTTAAATTCTAAATTATTATATCCATTTTACTTTGTTTTAGACTCCATAGCATAACCATATTGCGAGATCCATCAGATGAGATAACTTTTACCTCAGCAGCGCTTCACTCAATCACACAAGGAACATTCTCTATTTCAAATTGTGATCTTGCGTTATGCACACATTCATGGATAGTAGTCTATTTTAAATTGTTTTATTTATTGAATGCGATTCGTGGCAAACACACAATCGGTTGTTTTCGTCATTTTTGAGTGTATACATAGTGTAAAAAATAAAATCAAGAATGTGGAAGAAGAGTCGTCCATAGTTTTATTGGGTTTTCATAAGTCTAAGGAATTTATTGGTAATTATATGTTTAATCGCCGCCCTCCTTCTTCTCCTTGATGGCGTCCTGGAACAAAAAATAAGTATGGATATAAGAAATCAATATTAAAGGGTTATTTCTAGCACAGATTGTATGTAATACTTTGAAACGCTCTTCGAAGAGAGATAATTCTGCTAGAAGATCGGTAATGGCATTCATGAAGGCTTCTTGCGGCGAGTAATCGGCCGTCGTCTGGATGCGGATAACGAACTTGTGCTCCAGAGGATGGGGAACCTTGTAGCCGGCAAACAAGACATTGGGATCCTTCAGCAGTTGGCTGCAGAGCAGAATGCACATTTAGTTTCTAAACAGCGGGGCTTATGCAGCAACATACTTGCGGATCATGTTTCCCAGCGTGTGATCCTCCTTGTTTATGGTGAATATAGCCGCGTTGGTCACTTTGGTGTCCAATTCCTTGATGATTCTGAAGCCGCGCCATACAAACACAAATACGGGTTACAGGTGGTCATTGGGGAGGTTCGTCTCGTTTACTCACTTTTTCTCGCCTTCATAGAGCAGAAATGACTCGAAGGTCGGCGGTGCGTTCATTTTGATGCCTTATTTTTCGTTAGCTACAGCAAATTATTAATTGTTTATTAAATTCAGCAGCACGCTCAGCCAAATTCTGCGGTACAGTGTTGAATAACGTGCCAGTGCACGGCACGCTAGAGTAGCTATATCTAGCTAAAAGTAGCTAGAAACCCTCACCTAATTGCTTTAGCATACTAAATTTAATTTGCAATATATAAACATTTATAAATTGAAAATGACATGTCTTCTAAAATGTTAATTGAAAATAATTTAATTTGCTCTGTTTTACGGCCATGCATAACACGTACTTTGCAACGCAACCAAAATTGCAGCCGATAGCTATCGCGTAAACAAGCTGTTGTCGGCCATCCCTAAGTTTAGGTGGTTGAATTATTTGCAATTTTCATCCAATCGCGCCAAACGCTGCGCATTCCGCGACTTTCGAGAAACTGACACGAAGCCAAGCTCAAAATTCCTTGTTAAACTGTTGAGATGAGCGAGTTGAATGCCAAAGATGGTGCCCACGAGGTCGACGAGGCCAATCCACTGGAGCAGTCGACCATTACGATGCTGGATGTCCTGGAACAGGAAAAGGAGCTGGAGGACGAATACGCCGCAGTGCTGGGCGCCTCCGATGAGAAGTCCTGCACTTACGCCAAGGGCGCCATCGGTCGGCAGGCCCTGTACTCCTGCCTCACCTGCTGCCCCGAGGCTCGCGAGGATCTGGACAAGGCGGCAGGAGTCTGCTTGGCCTGCTCCTACCGCTGTCACGAGCACCACGAACTGGTGGAGCTCTATACCAAGCGGAATTTCCGCTGCGACTGTCCCACCCAGCGGCTGGGCAAGTGCTCCCTGAACCCACAAGTCGAGGGCATTCAACCGCGCAACGTGGGCAATCTGTATAACCAGAACTTCCAGGGGTTGTACTGCAAGTGCAGGCGACCCTATCCCGATCCCGATCGCACCGTTGAGGAGGTAATGCTGCAGTGCGCCATCTGCGAGGACTGGTTCCACTTGCCGCACATGAAAGCGCCCGGTGCCAGCGAGAAGTGGCTGGATGTCTGCAGCGAAATGATCTGCGATGGCTGCATGGATGCCAAGCCCTTCCTAAAGGACTACGCTGGACTAGCGCTGCAGCCTGTGGTAGATGATGTAAAGGAGGCCAAGCCGGAGGCTGAGGATCACCAGCTGAAGAACGAGTTGGATCGCAGCATCTGCGATATCATGAAAGTCCCTGAAGGCGAATCTCAGCCAGAAGAGGGCGAACCCAGCCAGAAGCGCGCCAAACTGGAGGATTGTCGCAGGCCCAAACCAGCCAAGCAGCACCAGGGTGAGTAAATTGATATATTATATGCTCCAAAACACAAATTTTAATGCAAAAGCAAACTTAATACATGAAAAGCAGGTCAAAGTTCTTTTTGCCATCGCCCATGTAAAGGAAACCATGCTTGTGGGAGTTCATTTTGTGAAAGAATGTCATGCCCAACCAAAGGCACGACTTGATTATCACCAAACCCTCGTTTCGTTGCATATTCAGGGCAAAAGCCTGACACAGTGGTATTACACAGTCAATGGTGTCCAGAAAGTCAATAGCATAGTTATAGTCGCTCCTCTTGGCCAAATTGACTTTGAGATCATTGCGGGGCAGGCGGTAAAGCTGGTAATACGATTGGTTGTCGATTTGCAAGTCATTCAGACCACGAAACATCTGGTTGGGTATAACACGGCCGTCCGTCATCTTGTAAAAGGCTCCCCGTGGACAAATGGCACACTCCTCCGTTATTATAAACACAATGGCTGCCAGCCTTTCCTCCTCCTTCAGCTTGACCACTTCAGGGCGGCTGATACCAGCCACCTGATTCGCGACAATGTCAAAAGTGGGGTCCTGTGTGGGTTCGATATGAAAAACCAATCACCAGCGTATTTTGCACTATCAACTCACCAGCTTAACGTAGGTCATCAGGCTGGGATCTCCTATAAATGGCTCCCTGGCCAATATAGTCGCCTGAAAGATCTTGGGGCTCTGTACAAACGGCAACAACTGCCACTGGAACTGGTCCAGACTGTAGAAGTACTTGCGATCCTTCAGGCAGTCATTGGTGTAGCCGAAGGCAATGTAGTAATCGTTCTTGGTGGCCGTAATGCGACCCCAAAGATACATGCCCGTAAAGCGGTTGTCATTTTGCAAAGTGATCAGCGAGTTTTCAATCAAGATGCGCTGCTCCGGCGAAAGCTTCATGCCACAGTACATTAGGCTGTCGAGGCCTTCAGTGAAGAACTCCAAATTCATGACGATTTTATCCTGGCAATTTAAATGTGAAGTGTTGAAATAAAATGTGGATTCCAGTGGCACGAATATTTGAAAGAAATCTCAGAACCCTTAAATGTCGGTAGGGGAAATTTCTTGTTGGATGGTTGATTACATGGCATGAATAGCTCAGCACAAACTCTTTGAACTGCCAATTTCAATTATTTAATCCTCTCCCCTTTTCCTCTTTCAAGGAGCCGCTTTCTGGACTAATGACTGGCGAAAATCGCTCTGCCAGTGCTCTGAATGCCTGTCGCTGTACAAGGAACTCGCCGTGGAGTTTCTGCTGGACGCCGAGGACTCGGCGAAGACGTACGAGGAGCGCGGCATGAAGCGGGCGGAAGAGAATTCCAGCTATGAACAAGGAATCCGGGCACTGGCCTCCATTGACCGGACACAGCAAATCGATGCGATTACCGAGTACAACCGCATGAAGGACAAGCTAAAGGAATACCTGCAGGCATTCGCCGCTAGCAAGAAGGTAGTGACCGAGGAGGACATCAATCGTTTCTTTGCCGGCATGCGCAATGAGAATAATGCCAACCTGGGTCAGCCCTATTTCTGCCGCTAAACAGTTACCACTCTAAATTATTATAGTATTACCCACATTCCCCCATGGAAGAGAAACATACATACATACATCATGTAAATTCCTAAGTTATTTTTTATTGAAACAATTTACTTTATATTCAACTTACTTGTGTCAACAACAAAAAGTCGTAACAAGGCATAGGGCAATGAGATTCGCATTTCCCTCTATCTGCTATCTATCCAAACAAATTTATGTACATCGCGGTGAAGTAGAATTATATAAGACAGGCTTTCTGTTGAAGTTCATCTTGGATTGAGACCTTTTTACATAGCTCTAATTGGTTAATTTCCGGTATATTTTATGAATATATGTACACTAGTATTTAGCAAAGTTATTGTTCACTTGAATGTCTGAATTCCTAAGCTGTTGAGCTCAGCCTCAATGCCCTGGATAAGTTCGTTGGTGTCGATGGGCGCCATGCCTATGCTGCCACTAATTAGATCACTGAACGACTGGATGGGTTCATCTGCCAGAGCTTGCTGCTGCTGTGGCTGCTGTGGCTGCTGCAGCTGATGTTGCTGGTGGTACTGCGACTGTTCTGGCTGGGATTGGGCCAAATATGGAATGGACTCCGGGTGCGATTGAGGCAGGAACTGCTGACTCTGTTGGTACACCTGTTTGATACCAAAATTTCCTTGTGGCGGTGAGCTTATGGCACTCATTTTTTGACTTAAGAAGTCATTGTTATTGTTATTAACCAGTATGTTGTTGTTATTGTTGATTGGAGTCATGGAGCCACCACTGAAATGGGTGGGACTACACCCGTTAACCGGAAAGTTTGAACCCTCCGGCAGATAGAGATGGTTATTGCTCTGTCCGATTTGAAACGGCGGAATGCTATCCACTGTGCTGCAGTTGGAACGAGGCGATGCGAAATTCCCATTAAATGGGAAGTTTGTAGCATCTGGCAAATATAGATGATTTTGCTTCTGCCCGATTTGCATCGGCGGTATGCTATCCACTGTGCTGCAGTTGGACCTAGCCGATGCGAAATTGCGTTCCACTGACGGACACTGGCTACTCTGGCTGTCCATGTCCATAAATCCATTCTCCATCTTGATATCCTGCACGAAATTGGGACTACCGCCGGGAAAGATCAAAGGCCTACCAGGCGACACCTGTGCTTGCGGTGCTGTGGTCGCAACTTGTGGAGTGGGAACCACCGTATACTGGCCTAAAAAATAAGAAGAACAGTGTTAGCCGTGTGTTTGTAGTATTAAGGAGAAGAGCGCTTAACAACGGAAAAGCATTAACATAATTAAGGCAAAACTGAGGTGAAACTAAAGCAATTTGCGGAAACTCAAAAAGGACGACAGCAAGCCACAACATCAACTTGCCTTGGCAGTATCCACTTACATTATTTGATGTCCAACTTTGGTGGCAAAAATGGAGTTCGATGAAAACTAGACAGAAATTTAAGGGGTAGACACTTTTTCGGTTGTCCGAATATTTAGAGATACCCTTGCCATTTAAACCTTTTGCTTAAATTACTAGATTTTTGATTTAAAAACTAAAAATTTAAATATGAAAAATGAAGGTGGCGGCAAAAGGTTTTACAAGATTAGAAAACAAAAACATCTTAGCGGACGAATGTAATCGTTATAAACTATTCAAACAAAGTAGTACCACCTTTTTATTCGATTTCTTTGCAGGCAAGGGCATTTTAAAATTTTAACAAATTACAAAATAGTTCAATGTCACGACTTTTACGAAAATCTTTTATTCATCAATGTTGAATACAATAAGTATGGGTGAAACAAACATTTTTCTATTCGAACGACCTATATTAATAAATGGTTCTTCGACTACAACGTAACATTTCCCAACAATTCTGAGTCGACAACAACTTTATCCATTGGTCCACAAGTTATTAAATCCTGTACTATCAGTAGTGCGTTTTCAGCAAACATTTTTGCCAATCAATATAACCATCGAGAAATGAGTGTGTGTGCTTTTGCGTGGTAAATGTGTTTTCTAGGAACTGCATAGATGAAAGGATTCTGAGAAGGAACCCAGTCCCAGCACCAGTATAAATGCGGATAATTCTTGAAAACTTACTGGAGTTCTTAACCAGCTTGGATGGATAGAAATCGGTGCTCATGAGACTGCGCTTTAGGCTTTCGACTGTTTTTTGGGCAACCCGGCGGTTGTGCTTGGTTAGGAGTTCTACAAAGATATTTAAATTTAAGGGCGATTAAAAAAGATACATATACAATTGAATTTGGTGAGCGATCTCAGAGTTGCTTATCTAGAACGTTCTGTAAGCATTATAACTTATATATTTGGTTTTGTAATTAATACTGAAAAAGAAGACGACTAGAAAAGTTTAATTTGCTGGTGCAGTTGTGTGTTTTGTTGTTTTGCACTAACTAATGATAGGGTTTCGGTAAACTGATTTGATTACGCTTCAGAAAGGGTATTTTTAGCTTCGACAAACTATACAAGATCTTCATTTACTTTTTTAAATTAAGCCTTGGGAAACCGCGCATTTGAATGCCTTCAAGGTTTAAAGAAAGTATCTTGTCCCCAAATCAGTTATCCGTAACCCTAAGCATCTACTCCAAGCCATTTGCCTCCGCCAACCGTCGTGCTATTTCATCCGCACTGAGAAAATCGGTCGTATCCACTCCGCCGGCCGCCGCACCACCTGCTGCTCCACCATCGCCGCACTCCCCGCCAAATGGTGGCTCCGGGCTTTTGCTGGTGTAGAGAGCAAAGTGTTCCGCCTCGGAGAGATCCACACTGGGATCCAGCACCACACCGTAGGCGCCCTCGCACAGATTCTTGATGCTCTGCCTGTCGGCAATGGCTATCAATTCCATATTGCCGTCACTAATGGGTATATCCGCCAGCTGCAGAGTGCTCAGGGTCTTCCTGTCCAGCGGTCGCCCGTAACTAAGGGTGCTGGCATTTGAGTAGCTCTCCGGGCGCAGCAAACTGTTCTCGCTGTCGCCCCCTTTCAGTGGTATGTGGATAACATCCGCATCCAGATAGGCAGGTCTTTTTCCCGATACACTGCTTGAACTGCGACCGACTGGCTTGCCATTTCTGCCCTCGCTCTTGCCCAGTGGCTGCATCGATCTCGTGGAGCTGCGATTGGGATCTCCCAGAGAGAAGTGCGCAACGCTCGGTTCCCTACTGCTAGTCGGTGTCGTGGCCTTTGATCCGCCTGGCAGTTGCTTATTGGGGCTGCCACCAGGCGTCAGAGAATCCTCGTCATCCGCCTTGCTCCTACGGCGGGAGAAGAATCTCGAGAAGAAGCCCTGACGCTTCTTAGGCGACGCACTTGGCGTTGGTTGCCTTTTGGTGGGACTTTGATCAGGGGTTCGCATTATAATTATGGGCGAAGGTGTAGTTCTATTGGAGCTTAGGCTGCCGTTTCGCGATCGGCTTACAGATATAGAATCACTGACCGCACTCAGATCCTGGGAGTTTCTCTGCGGCTTGGGTGGCAAGGGAGGCAATCTCTGATCGAAAACGGGCGACGGAGTTCGGGGTGGCAATGGCAGGGGCGGCGAGGAGGGGGGCGTGGCTGGTGTCTGAGCAGCGTTCACTTTTATCCTGGGAGCTGGTGGATTTGTCAGCACCACCAATTCAGCATCATCTAGCTGACCAAAGGGATTGGTGGCCGGATAAGTCGGGGCTGTCTGCTTGCTTTCTTTGGGCAACGCTATGTCTATGGGATTATTAAAGGCAATTTGCAGGCTCGTGTAAGTGGCTGTCTCGTCGAAGTTTTCGTCCAAATCCATAGAGGCCTGGGCACTGGCTGAAACCATTTCCGGTTCCTTTTCATTTTCGGGCAGCTCTTTCACGGCGGGATTCTCGAGGGTGTCCCGGCGGGAACCATTGGCCAAAAGACCGTGGGCCTCCTCGTCCAGTTGGTTCGTTATGGTCGTATTGGCAGTCAAGCTGCTGACATTGGTGAAAGCTGTTTGGGCCGTGCTATTGGACAGGGATTGCGTGTCCCCGTTCTCCACCGTCAGGCTATCCGTTCTCTCAAACTCGCTGCTCTTCATCCACTCGGTGATGGTTTCCACATTGGAGAGAGGTCGCGATTGCAGCTGCGGATGCTGCAGAATCTCCTCCATGGGCGTGGATGTCTGGGTGCAGTCGTCGGCCAGTTGGGGCAACAATTGCGGCACTTCCAGCTCGATTTCCATGTCCGGTTCGTTATCGTTATCCGTGTACTCGGTGACCGTGCCACCATCCATTTCGTGCGATTCACCCCTCTGGCGCATTTGCATCTTCTTGACGGCTATCTCGAACTCGTTGAGAGTTCCCGAACTCTGTTGGTCGTCGGATGACACCGTGTTGTTGTCCTCCTCCAGATCCATCGGTGGGCATGAGTATTTCGTGGCCGTGGTTTCGCTGTCTAGGGAAAGGATCTGCTGGAACACGTCCAGTTCCTGGCGGCGCTTCAACTTGCGCTGCAGCCGCGCAAAGGTTACTGTACCTGGATTCGGGTAGTACTCGAATGGCAGTGGGGCACTCGTCGCTCCGTCCGAGGGTCTCACTAGCTTCAGCTCCACCTGAAAGGGAGGCATACGGAGGATATGATACATTTCGTACTAAAACATATAAGGAGGTTAAGGTAAGTGTATAAATCTAAGCAAATGATGTTAATTTGGAACGCGAAAACTATTTTTAGTACATTTGACGTGATTTAAGTCCGTTATATACAACATCGGAAACTAGTCTGGTTTCTTCATTATATGCACATTTTAAATGGCCGCTTGACATGCACATGTCATTCCAGTCATTCGAGTTTTTAGATAATTGAGATAAGCTTAAATAAAGTATTCAAATTGTTACAGCTTGAATTCAGCATTATGTATATGAATCCATACAACTGAACTTACATTAACGCTTTGTGTGATCTCGGTGTTCCTGTAGCGCGGCGTCTTGAAAGCTATGGCCATCTGCTTGAACACGTCCGTGGGTTGGAACTCGGCGTTGGCGAACCACGTCTCCCGCCCATCCTTGTCCGTCTCGTAGAACCGCACCTCGATGTCGTCCTTGGCGATCTTCTCGCACAGCATGATGATCTCGTCGCCGCCGTTCGCAGTGGCCGCGCAACTGCACAGCCGGGTGATGGTCAGCTCGTTGCTCTTGCCGTAAATCGGGGAGGATACGATGGGCTTCAGGGGCACTTTCGAGTTGCCCACTGTGATGAAGGCCTGGTAGCAGAGGCGCAGCTCATACCGATTGATCTTGTCGACCTGGTCCTTGTGATCGAATTTGGCTGGGAGAAAAGAGTAAGCAAAGGGGTTATTAATGAAGTTGGAGTTCCAGATGTTATTTTTATGATTTCAGTAACTTGCGTATATACT